TCTGCGCATTGGGAAACATGCAGCTCTTATTGCGATTACTCAGGGGAGAAAAATAAAATCCAGAACGGAGCATATTCTCTCTCCATTGCAATGCCGAGAGGAAGAGGATTGAGTACACAAGAGTGCCTTGCCCTCCTTGAACAGTTGGAATCAGATATAAGTGGTGATGATAGCAGTGACGAAGATTTTAACGTTGATGTGAACTTACAGAATTAGTTGTTCTCTAAAAGCAGTGATAGTGATGTCGAACACAATTCTGGAAATGTGATCCCTATGCGGGAAGCCGGAAGCTGACGTGATCGTGGTCAAGGACGAGGCAACAACGTTACTGGCAGCAGTAATGAGAAGTATACCTCATCCAGTTGTATTCTCTGGACCCCTAGGAACCTTAGCAGCACCACTTCCACTTCAGGTCACACGCGAACTCGAAATATTGTCACCACTGCAAATGGACCAGCGTCATTTGCTCTTCGTAATATAAGAACAAATCCTGCTTCAGCGTGGCGTTTGATGGTGAGTGAATCAATGGTGAAACACATTCAATCATGTACAGTTGCTGAGGCACGACGCCAACTTAGAGATGATAGTAACTGGCATGTTACTCTGGAAGAACTTGATGCCTTTTTTGCCCTTCTGTATGCTCAGGGAGCACCAGGCCATTCAAAACTTTGTGCAGATGATTTGTAGAACAAGAATTGGGGACCACCTGTGTTCTAAGAAACAATGTCACGTCTCAGATTCGATGTCCGAAGCACAAGAGCTGATCGTTTCGCCACTAACAAATTTGCTCTCGCTTCTGAAACCTGGTACAAGCTACTGGAAAACTTATTTATGCTATAATCCTGGACCAGAAATAACCGTTGATGAACAATTGTTGCCTTGTAAATCAAGATGTAGATTTATCCAGTACATGGCGAATAAACCGAACAAGTTTGGCATCAAATTCTGGCTAGCAACTGATGTAAAATCCAAATATGTTTTGAATGGTTATCCTTATCTGGGCAAGGATGAAGAACGACCAACTAATTTACAACTTGGGGAAAGTGTAGTTCTCAAATTACTGCAAACCACATCTTAAACTCCGGACTCAATGTCACAACTGCCAATGACAATTTTTTTTACTTCTGTGAAACTTGCAGATGAACTTTCTGCGAAAAAAACCACAATTGTCGGGACGATGCGTCTGAATAAGCGGAGAATTACCCCCTATTGCTCGTGACACTTCTTCGGCACGATATTCATCTTTTGCACTGAAAAATGGAAGACAAAACACTCACAATATATAGGTGCAAGAGCAAAAAGAATGTCGTGATTCTGAGCACGATGCACAGTAATGTGTTTGTTGACGACAGCATAAAGAAAAAACCGAACACTGTCACTTACTACAACAGTACAAAATGTGGCGTTGATGTCGCAGATCAGATGCTGAGGAAATATAGTACAAGTAGTGGAAGTCGCAGGTGGCCTGTACATGTTTTTTACAACGTGCCTTGACATTGCTGCACTCAATGCTTGGATTATATTCAAAGAATCCTTGGGCACCTCTATTTCCCGTCGAGAATTTATTCTTGCACTCGTGGAAGAACTACGAGTTGGTGCACTACGCAACAGATGCCCCCGATTGCTCAAAATACAGACACTTAAACGAAAGAAATGTGCATTTCAAAGTTGCAAGGGACAAAACAAGACTTTGTCAGCTGTGAGGGATGCCAGAAACCAATTTGTGGTAAATGTGTTGCTGTCACTGTCAAGCGTTCATATTGTATCACCTGCGGTAATGTATAAACAAACTTTGGAAAACATTGTGTGTTTATTCCCAATTTATGTTTTTTTTTTGTAATTTTTTCATATGTTCTATTTTCCACTTTTCACATTTGTATCTTTTGTTTGTTCTTCATAGATGTTGTTTTTGTTTTTGTAATCTTACATTAAAAGATATTGTGTGCTAATTTGCACTAATTGCACGAAAAAAATTCTAAAGTATAAAAAATAAAAACCTCTAAGAACTCTTATGTGGTCATTTCAGCATCATTTCAATCATTTACTGTTTCTACTTACATTTCTTATGAGGGTCAAATTGACCCCCAATCGCGGTTTTCGGTTAGTCCGAAATTCGGCTCCTCTAGTGTTAAGACCATTGTGTTAAACAAGAACTGTAATCTTACCCAATTCTCAATATTGTTGGTTGCTGTATATTACTGGTTTGAATATGCACATCTGTATTATAATTGTCTTTGTACCGTTAGGTACGGTATTAGCACTATGTGCTGCACCATAATGGCAATATATCATTATCTGTGTGTCTAACAATGTTTTTCTGTATGCATGTTAGGGTTTTACTTAACAATGCCTATTATGTTGTACATTTAATCTATTAGCGCTTCCTTCATATTCAACTGCATAACACAAATATGAGTGAAGAGTAGTCATTTCAATTCACCAATTAGCACTTCATTCGCATTAGTTTTATGTATAGCTTGTAATACCTAATCTTTTCATAAACTTGCATTTAATTGCATTGAAAATAACACGGAAGTGTACAATAACTTACGAATGTAAATGTATATTATTATAAACTACTATAAATCGAACTCTTTATTATGTAACTTATTTTTCTGAATTTGTGGCATATGATAGTAATACATGAATACAAAATAATCGGCACACATATAGGTAAGACTTATATGCTGTAAATTTAGACTGGAATCATAACAATTTTAATCGTATTATGTATATAATCTTGCTTTATTTTTTATTTAATTGCTTTTATATCCAGTTGCATATCATTGATTACAATTCTGGTATTTTGTTCTTAAATTTAACATATCTAGTACAGAAGTGTGCATTTATATTATACTGTATATGCGGACAACCAATGGAAAGGAAACTGAATCATCAGATAGAGGAAACACTACGTATCAGAAATAAAGAAGTATCAGATAGGTTTCTTAGTATACAATGAAACACTTTTCTCAGTATTGGATAAATTGAATCGAGCGTAAATTTTCATGTGCTGGTATTTGAATTTTCCATGAACTCTCAACTGAGCATTGTCAGCATTAGGTTTCATTTTCTAGCTCTCTGTTAACGACAGATGGTGTATTAATGCTGGAACTGAGAAAAAGTTTAATGTGTATGTATTACAATGTGTTAAATGTGTATGTAATGTTTAATGTATTACAAGACAAACCAAATCTTAAAAGCTCAAGATTTCTTCCACCCAAAAATGATTTAGTTCTGAATATGACGGGATATGGAAGATGCGATTTAATTAGAATTATCAAAAACATTTATTGCCACCAATTAAGGTATTTTGAAAGAAGGACCAGGCGACGGAAGAAACGGCTGAGAATATTTTGTGGTAAAAAAGAAACTCATAGTGCAGGCAACACTTGCTTCATATTTGTCTGCCAGAAAATTCAGATTTTTCATCCTACCTATTTAAGATAGTGCAGAATTTTCTTGCTGGCAAAATATCCCATTGTTTCAGGTCAATATTGCAGGTCAAACTTGAATGTTTCGCGGCGAATCCCTCTCTAAAAAATTAAAACGTGAATTGAAACATTGCTCAAAGATGAGTAAACATCAAACAAATATCGTACTATTAAATTTATTAAATTTATGCAAGCCCCCCAGTGGCCGGGCTCCGTAAAGTTGTTAAACATTGGTAGTTTTAACCTGGTTCGATTTCAGGCGAACGGACTGGCGACATTTGGGGTTACGTGGTTTTCCTCACATGTAACGTGCGTAGGAGCCAGTTTTCCTTAGAAAGTCTCCCACGAAGGCATCCCTCAGGCACATAGCTCTAATGCACCTCCCAATAATAAACTACCCAGAAAAAAAAAACTATCCAAAATATGTATTCAGAACTTTGATCTTGGAATTCCTGTTCATGTTTTGCGCGACTTTCAGAATGTGGAAAAACAGTTTTTCGAAGTGACATGCAGTTTTCCATCCGATGCTGAAGTATTCTTTTTGCTTTGTAGTTTATCCTTATCTAAATATAATGGAGCGCTAAATCTTTAAGTGAGTTTTTCTGGGAACAGTGGGTTTTGTACATGTATCACGGGAGCGTTGAATTTTAACTCAGCATTAAGAATTCGTAACATTAATTTATGCGTCACCTATCTCTGTTACAGTTAGGGTACATCTCTGCCACGAAAGTTTTGAAGAAATTAAATCCGATCCGCAAAAAGGGGTCTCGACATTTTGGATTATTGCCCTGCGAAATACTTTGCCCCATGATACATTTGTATTTTTCCGGCAACAAATACTAGTAATCAAATTAGTACCCATGTCTTGTCTTCAGTAAAAAAAGAATAAACATCATGATTTCTAGATGTAAGATTTGTCAACGGACTAATTTAACACAGCCATAGTGAATTTTCGAACATGTTCTAAATCACATTATCAAATTCCTTTTTTTTCGGGGGGGAGGAGCATTTTTAGTCGTCTGGAGCGAATGCGTTCCCTTGCGAATTTTATGGAAATTTCCTGGACTAAATTATTAATTTTTGCTTGAAATTTGCAGCTGTCATTTAATAACTAGATGTTTTACAAATTTATTAATTGCTTTGAAATATTTTAATTGAGTGATATTTTCCTTGGTAAACAGAATCCGTTTCTTGCTTCAATATTCATTTCCTTCTCTCATTTTTTGCTATCTTATGTCAATGCCATTTTCGATTAAATTGATCTGCCGATTTGGGAATCTGATCATTTAATACATATGAATGCATTCTGAGACTTCTCAATGAGGAAGAAAGATTTGAGTAAATTACGCCACCTAATTAAAAATGGTGCATTCACTTGCAAATGGTTAAAGTCCAACTTTTCGTTTGTTATATTAATATTTTTAGAATGCTAAAAATAAAAGAAAACAGTTACAATAAAAATATAATTTATATTTAGAATTTTGAAAAATAACCAAATATTGAAACAAATTCAGATTTCGAAATCGACATTCATCACATGAATTTACAAATAAGGGAAGAACATTTGAAAACAAAATTGATTACATTCAAATCTGAAAATTTACTTTACTTTCAAAGACAACAAATGCAATTTCAGACGCCGATTCTGAAGATTTGATAAATTAGGAAATAATTTAGATTTGGACATTTAACAAACAAATTAATCTGGTTGCATAATTAAAAATTTAACTCAATTTAAAGATAAAAAATTTTATAAAATTTTCAAATATACTAACTAGAAAAATACATATACAATAACTATTCTAAATTTCATGCAGCAATTTTTTCCGTGTTACATTTGAAAATAACTCAAAAGTAAAATTTTCCATTCGAACTGCACTACTAGGCTGCAGAAAAATATTTCAATGAACTACTTGTTTCCAAATGAAAACTTCTAAGCAGAGTGAACAAAAAAATAAAATTTGTTAACTGAAATGATTAAAAACATTATAGAATTTATTTCATCTTAGATCCGAAAATTGCATAGCTAAAATTTCGTTTTCTGCAATCCCTGTAAAACATTTCAAGTTCTTTTTGGTTCACATGTTCAATTCTCTTACAGAATATTTTGGGTGGGTGCAGTCTTATTCGATTACCTCTGGTGAAAGCAGATAAACTCCTGTGTCTACTTTGTTGCATTTCATTGCTATTAGTTTGTTTAAACCCGCATTTCTCTTATATCACCAGAAACGTCTTGGCAATCCAAAGACCTTTCATCGTTAAAGCCACAAACGGACTCAGTTTCGGTTTCGGATTTATTAGGAATCGTTCCATTAATGGTGTGTGAGCTTAGCATTTTACTCAATATCCTGTAACTTAGCTTTTTTCTAGGTCGGGAACAAGAATCACTTTCTTTTGTACTCGAACTTCTGATCTCAAAAACTTTGCATTCAGCAACATTTTCCCGATTCTCTAAACCTGTAAAAGACAAATTTTGGTTGCTTGTACTGGATGGTCCTGCTCTATTTCGTGCATCATCAAAATTGCATTTGGATCGAATTTCGCTTTCAGATTCGTAAGCAGCAAGTTCAGTTGATTTATCTTCTAAAATGCATGTTTTTCTTTCATTTGTTTTTGAAGAAAAATTTTTCTTCGACCTATAACAGCAAGATCGAGCTTTCTCATTTTCTGTACTTGAACTATAGCCTAAATGAGTACGATATTTCACACCAGACGTAATATGTTGTATTTGGTTAACAATTTCTGTTAATTTATCATTAAGATCATGGAGGAATTCCTCGAACTCTTCCCTTTCCATTGTCACATCGTTTTTCACGTATGAACCTAAATTAGATGATTCTTTTAAAGTTATTTTCAAGTTATCTGATGATTCAGACATCGCAGCTTTTTCCTCTCTGAACATTTCTTCAATTGCTATACAAACGTCAAAGACTATGCCATAAAATCGTTCATTAAGAATCGATACGACTTTTACGATGCATAGGATTCCAGTCCGCAGCTTGTTTGTTGGCATGTTAAACACACAGGCGAGTCAAACTTAAACAAACCTAAAAATTTAACTCATTAGTCATACTTTATGCTTATTTATTTAAACGAATTACTCAATACTTTGTTGTATTAGTTAGAAACAAGCTCTAGAAATTATAATATAGAGTGCACTATTTTTGTAAGGAATTTAAAGTTAATAAAAATACTTTCTGCTCAAAATCAGAGTTTAGATGTACTTAATAAAGTTGGGTATTAATTCCTAAAGAAATAAATTCAAGTATTTAAATTTAATGAGTGGTTTTATCGGGAAAAAATGGTTTCCATCATTAGCAGAGTTGCTGTTCGAGTGAGAATTAGAATAGAAATAATTAAAAGTTTTTAGAGAAGCATTACCTGACAAATAAAGATAGAATTATAATGTTTATTGGAAGGTGTTTCAGCTACGTATTCTTTACATTTAAGCCGCATATACCAATTTAAAGATATTTTAAGATTTTCAACGAGTTAAATATTTAAGAGGAACTGATCCATCATATTTTTATTCATACGTGTCAACTTTCTTTCCAAACTCGGTATTAGTATAGATTATGCTACGACCCTTTTCCAGAAATGTTGCCTTTCTAAATAAATGATTAATATATCCATTAAAATATAACAGTCATATCCAGATCATTCTGAAGCAAACATGCTTCAGAATAGTGCAGAATGTCTCAAAAAGACAGCATTTTAATAGTGATAACTGCTATTATTCCTTAAACAAATTGACTTATTGAATTCATTATTATTCCTTATTGAAAGACTACCAATTTTAGACACCAAAATTGGTAATTTAATTGCCCATACTGTAACGTAGATTAAAGTATCGAAAGTTTATAGTGTGTCTGTTTTAGCAAGGAAGTTCTCCAAGTATGTTTTGAAGTGTTCCACTAACATTAAATTTATTCAGGACCATATGGGTAACTCGCAATATTCATATCGTACAACACAAAAGAGCAGTTTTTCATTGTAGAACAGAACATATTCATCAATATATTTCAACTGTGATAAAAGTTTATAGGTTATTTCATAAAATTAAAAACAAAACAGAACGTTAAGAAAATCATTTACTAATTATATTTACTTTGGAAACTAAAATACTGTTAGAAGAAATAATAGCAAAACATTAAGTTAATGGTGACAAATAAGTATACTTGACGCGTGTATGTCTCTGAAAGAATCTAAAAGAATTTCAAAATAGAGAAATTCTGAAAGTTTCCCAAAGTATTACTTTTCGCAATTTAAATTCTCATTTATAAATTAAACAATGAATAGCTTGGGCTTAACTTCAGTTTTGAAATTCACAGCACTTAACAAAAATAGATAAAAATTGGAAAAAGTCGAATTTGTGTATATTTCAATTTTAGAACACAAAATAAACATGTTTTGCAAGAAAAGCTTCCCATAATTCATTAAGACCTTTGCATCATTTCTGTAAAATAATTTTTTCATCACTTCATTTCCAAGTTTGCCTTTAATGAAATACTTGGGAAAACACCACTTGAGTAATTTTTAAAAGGCAACAAACCTGATACTTAACAGCTTGTACCAGCAATAAGATCACACAATGGTAGTAGTTTAGCCGAAAGCTGATTTGTAAAAAACAAACGATGATTTGTGGTCTGACAAGTGAATGTTAATACACATTTAATTATTACATAACACCATAGGGGTATCTGCGTAAAAGGACAGACGCCTTCGTGGAAATCTTGGGAAGCTCAAATGACTAGTATTCATATTAAATGTTGGAAAAATCTCGAAAGCAAATAGAGCCATCCCATGAGCAAATGAACTCTTAATGAGTGCCTGTTGACGATCACGCAAAGAAAGCTTTCATAAGTTTTATACCTCAAATATTCAATACCATCCTAATGGTATTTTATAACGTTTATAAACGATTATTTGAATCTTGTAGATATAGTAAAATATAGACACAAATACAAGAAATGAAAATTTCATATAAACACTTTAGAAAAGCGAAAACCTTCGACTGCAAACAAACCTATACTCTTCTCAATACTTACTAGAATAGATACTAGAATAATCATCTTCGTACTTACATGAACCTAAACCAATGGGAAAAGGCGCATAAGAGATATAAGGGGATCATCACTATAATTTTGACTTTATTTACATGCAGTGAGAATAGTGAGAATTATTTCCAGTCCAAGAGAAAACAATTCATTTGCCTGAATATTGCACTCTTATATTAAACAGTAAAATAATGCTTATTACATTTGTATTGCGAGTATTCAAAATTTATTAATATATCAATAATACCAACTTAAAAAAGATCAGTTTTCTTTTGTCTACTTTCGGTTGTCCTTCAAAGAGTCATTAATCTTGATGTTACAATAGCATAGAGTGTCTATAAATATTTACCCTGATTATAGTCATTTGTAGCATCATATGGATGGTAGCAACTACGTATTTGTTTGTTGCAGATTCACAGGTAACTCGTAAAATTTCTCTTCAGTTGTGTCGCATATACTGCTTTTACTTCTAGGAGCGTTGTGCAATCTGTGTCGTGAAAATGGCTTCCCTACAGAAAAAATACAATATCTTATGTGGCTTTCAGAAACAAAATCACCAATGTGTCAAAATCACTATACACCGAATGATTCGAACATGTTATAGAAAGATAACACAGTGAGGTTAAATCACAGATGTCCGACGTTTTAACGACAAGGTCCTTTAAGTAGTGGAATGACGTTTTGTACATGCTATCATGGTTGCCCATGAGGAAGTTTATTAAATGCTTTCAATATGATTATAAACTTTGAAAGTTTATGCATTTGAGATAGAGTGTATGTCACGTTATATGTGCACATCCTGAGTTATCATACTTTGTAATAAGGGTAAAGATTTATGGACACCCTATATTTTCAGGATGCTATCTCAGCGCTCTTAGAAACCCCAGCGTACTTAGTGAACATAATAGTTTCAGAAGAAATATTATTACCATTTTTCAATCACCGTTTCGCATAATTTCAGCATCCTAACTCAGCTATTAATGGATTTTCAGCAGCAAGAAGAAATCTTGAAATGCGATTTACCATCATGTTCAAATGATCCAATTTTATTTGCCGATGCTGAAGTCTGGATCAGCTTCACTATATTCTGATGAAATGACCGACCGTCGTCCACAAAAAGCTTGCATTCTGTAAGCAGTTACAGATCGCCCAAGGGCTACCTATCTCAAAATGAAATCTTAATTTGTTGAGCATTTGCGATCGAAACTGGACATTTTGTTCTGCTCAAGAGCGTCAAGAACTCCACGTTAACTCTTTTCAATACACTGCTTTTAGTGACCGCATAATCCAAAGATATAATGCTTAAAAGACGATTAGTACAGTTTTTTGGGAAGAAAAAGAGGTTTGTATTAACAATGACCTATAAAAGTAATGCAGGAGAGTTATCCACAAGCGACAGGACTTTTCGGTTTTGTCATCATTAAATCATTCGTTTTAAAATGCTCTTCAATACTATGTCCCGCATAAGGTTTTTCTACTTGATTCTGAAAGTATCAGTTTCTTTGTTTTTTTTTTAAAACAGCACGCTTTTAGAATTTACGAATAATTAGAGGTGAAATTTTCTACTTGGTTTCGTTACGGAGAAACAATGAAATTCACTCTTACTCTGTAAAAAGAAACCATTTACTTGCAACTAAAGTTGCTTTGATTATTGTAGCCATTAAGCTGGAGAGGCATATCACACCGATTTACACACAAACGGATTGCCACGGTTTCTCTAATAAGACAACGATAGTTTATTACACCCCTCCTATTTCTTTAGCTTTTCGGGCAATCCCAAAACTTCAGAAATTCAGTTCAAATATTTATGATAAACAAATGCTTTTCAGTACTACAGAACTCGAGAGTAAATCAGAGTTCGCCGTTCTTTGAACAATGAGACTAAGTAAATTCTAAAATATCACATTTTTTATTTTGAATTCTAGATCTTCCTTCATATGCGCTCGAAATCGCTATACTTATTTTATGGTACTCGAATTTTCAGAATTCGAGTACCTGGAGATTTTTTAACAAAGAATTTTGACGCCATTGTTTTTGCTGCGTGAATGGCCAGAAATTGAGAGAGATTTGTTTTATCTTCCTAAAAGACCTAGCTGAAAATTATTTAAAATTGAAAAACAAATTTATAAGTTATTCTTGCGTAATAGTACATTATTTAATAGCATAAATTATTTTAATTATGTCTTAATTACGAAACAGTACAAGTTTCTTACTAAATAGGATTTTAAGACTGTACACAATATATTAAGTGCAGCATACTTAACTGAATACTGTCAATCAAGAAGCCCTCGTATCTAAAATTCAGAGATAAAATGTTCGTCGAAGAACTTTCGTTTTTGAGAATTAAAAGCAGGTTAGTTTGGATTACATTATGTCAAAGCTCTCAGATGCGATTTGCTCAAGGAGATTTCTGAGAGGCCGCGCTTTTAAAACAAACTGACTTTTAGTCACGTTGCATACGGAAAAAAGAAAGTGATCCTTTTCCATACTTCTAATTATAGTAAAGTTGAAATAAAGCGAAATTTAATTCTCTTCCCGTTTTATAACACTTACTCTTTTAGCGTCTTGAATTCCAGAAAAGCCTACGGAGCATTAACTGCGATATTTTTTAAAGCATCTGCAATAAAGTTATATTTATTTTCGCAATTAATATTAGCAAAAGAATTATTTTTTGAAAATATAGTTCAATTATATTACTATTTAAAATGTATTCTCATTTGTGGATAAAAAATTGCTGCAAAAGAGCTCTACAAAATTCGAGAGAATTCTTGTCTTTGATATCCAATTCCTTAAAATTGAAAATTTCTACATCTTGATGATTCTAATGTGATCTAGGAAATTAAATGCATTTTTATATTCACTTCTGAGTTATAAATCAGGCAATCACAGTTCGAGCTCAAAACAATTCGTGATTGTATCTGGTTAGTTTTAATATCACGCTGGCCAATCTTACAACATTGGAATTGGCTGCTTGCATTATGGCAAATCAC